GAATGCCACGTGGGTGCCCACTCAGCCACAGGAACCCCGACAAAGCCCATCTGTGTGTGAGCTCAGACCCCGGGAGAAGTCCCAAGCCTCGGCCGCCCTCTCCCTGCCCACAGATGTCGGGACGGGCCTGGAGATGAATGACCCAGTCTTCCCTGCTCCCACAGCAGCCCCAGACCCTGTACAAAGGCTGGGGCAGAGCAGGGGTGCGGGTGACTCAGCACCGCGTGGCAGGCCCTGAGCAGCGGCGTGTGCCCATTTCATCACTTCAGCCTGGTGTTGTATTCGGCTGGTTGCTGGTTGCAGAAGAAATTACACAGGCTCAGAGAGGCAGATCCATTTCCCCAAGGCCACACAGCAACACAGGGACTGCCTGCCCCCACCACCTCTGCGCCCCTATGCTCTCTGCTTTCCCCAGCTGACTCCTGCGAGTTGCCCTGAGTCTTGTGGGGCTGTCCCCCATGACAAAACCAGCCCCGAAATTTAGGGCCTGCTCCTGGCTCTAACCTCTTGGTCAAGCAACATAACTGCCCCGTGCCTCAGTTTCCCCATCAGTAAAATGGAGGATGGTGGCTGTAAAGAGGGAGAACTACCTTCATCCGAGGGCAGAAGCTTGTGGCCAACCTGAGTGTCCCCCGGGCTGTGAGCTTTCCCCGGGCAAGAGGCTGGACGCCACTGCCTGGACTTCTGACCTTCAAGCTCTATGCCATTCAGCTCCCTGAATGTAGAGACCTATTTCTCTGTGATGTTCTCTGGAAAAAAAAGAGCAGCAGCAAGGAATAACTATGCTTCCAGGATGCCCTCTCACCTCTGTTTCTCTAGAAGGTTCTATTCCATTCCCTCTACCTAGACCCCTCCCCCACCCATCACTCATCCTGTAAACTCATTCAAGTCTCAGAGTTACTGTCACCTCCTCCTGGAAGACTTCTGGATGCCCCAGGCTGGGCCAGGTGCCCCCTTGGCTCCCATGGTGCCCGGGGCATCTTCCATCACTGCCCTGAGTACCTTGGTTTCGGTGTCCATCTCCCTGGCCTGACAGCGTGGGTAGGGGCTGCATCTTTTTTTTTTTTTTTGGCCGTGTCGCAGGTCATGCAGGATCTTAGTTCCCCAACCAGGGATCAAACCTCTGGCCCCTGCAGTGGAAGCACAGAGTGCTGACCACTGGACTGCCAGGGAACTCCCCTGCATCTTTCTTGTTCACGCCGTGTCTCCTAACCCTAACCCAGGGCCTGGTACCCGGCAGACACCCAGTAAGTGTTTGTTGAATGTATGAGGGAAAGGATGTCTGCAAACATTGGAACCCGGGGGGGGAACTCCCAACTCCCTGGGTCCAGCTCTCCAGTTTCCAGATGGACAAATTGAGACTCAGAGAGGAGAAGGCCTTTCCCCGGATCCCAAGGACTCTGGTGCCCAGGTCTTTCTGCCTGTTTGGTTGCTGTGTGACCCCAGGCAGGGTTCTGCCTCTCTCTGGGCCTTGACTGTCCCCTCTGCAAATCCTGAGGTCGGGCATGTTGGTTCACAGGGGAAGCCTGTCCTGTTTACCAGCTTTAGGAAGAGCCTGGGCCCTCAGCAGCAGTACTGCCCCACACCCACCCTGCCAAGCACAGAGGAAAAGGGGCGGGGGGGGGGGGGGGGGGGGGGGGGGGAATAGGAGATTTCCAAAGCTAATGTATACTCGGGGGGGGCGGGGGCAGCCGCAGCCTTCCCTCTTGGCCTCCACACTCCTTGCCCCTACTCCCCTTGGGGCAGTCCCCAGACCTGTGACACCTGGACCAGCCCAGCTGCAATGGGTCAGCGGTCCCCCCGCCCCCCCGCCGCTGACCCATTGTTCTACCAGAAACGCCACCATCCAAGCAGCCAGAGAGGGAGATGACTGCTCTCCCCGGGGAGCATGCTGGGGACCAAAATAAACCCCAGCCTTCCTTCCTGCCAGCTGCGCTCATCCAAGTCCAAGGGCAGACAAGCCAGGAGGGGCCTGGCTGCACCATGGCAGCCTTTCTGGGGCAGGCCCTTCCCAGGGACGGCGGAGGGGCT